AAAAAAAAAAAAAAAAGCTAGGTGTGGTGGCATATGCCTCTAATCCCAGCATTTGGGAGGCAGAGGCAGGAGAATCACCCTGGAATAGAGTTCAAGGCCAGGCTGAACTACATAGCAAGGCTCTGTCTCAAAAAAACAACAAAACAAAAACAAATAAGTATTACAGCTCTTAAAAAAAAAATCAACTGTGGGCAAAGAGGGGGACAGAGAGGATGAGAACATAGCAAGTGCCAGCTCCATGTTAGAGGCACAGAAACCAACAAAGCAAAGGCCAACACTTGGGCTGAGTGTAGCTCAGTGACCAGATGCTTGCCTAGTATGCACTAAATTTGATGTCCAGCACACAAAAAGAAAAAGCAAAAAAGGCTAACATTTGGTGTCACGGGAATGGTCCATGTACGGAGCGTGAAACTCTTGCATACATTCCCTTAACAACAGGCTCGACATTCCTGGAGCTTATCTAAGAAGAAGGGTAAGCAACAGCAGCTACATCCACAAGAGTACATTCATTAGATTTATCCCAAGGTTTCTCCCTTTCATGGAGACCAGTTACCAAGGCCACTAAGTTGCCCAAGGTAGGGTCAAACTTGCTATCCTCCTGCCTCAGCCTCTCAGAGTGGTGGGATTACAGAGCAATAATCAGTTCTTTATTCATATCTCTCTTTAGGTCTAGAGATATGGGAAGGAGCCATGAAAATAAATGCCCAAGTGACCACAAGACAGTGAGCAGACTCTGGAGAGGGGCACAGACTAGCCAGTGAAGACACAACTCCAGGACTATGGCTCTTCCTGGGCCATCAGGGCCATCAGTGCTCCCTGCACAACCGCAGCCTGGGAAGGGGGCAGCAGGCAGTCCTGAATGAGGGCCACAGCAGCCGCCTCCGTCAGGCTGCTGAAGTCCTGGGCTGTTTTAACAGGGAGGTGCCCAGCTAGCTCACAGAGGGCAATATTGAAAGCCTCGCCCTCCTTTATTCCAAAGCTGGACTTCCGGGCCCACAGGATCACTCGGACCCCTTCAAGGGCCGAGCCAGGTGATGTCTTTCCAGGCGGGGCTCCCCGTGTCACAAACAAGTTATGTGCAATCTCGTGGTCACCCAGATAGTCTGTGGCCCGACAGACCCTGCTAATCACAGCTTCCAAGTCAGGCCCAGGCCCACTGGTGTAAAAGAGGAAGCCAGGAGCCGGTAGGGTCTGGAGCAGGTGCAAACGGCCCCTTGGGTCCAGGGGCTGGCTGGGTGCCACCTCCACGGGCAGTCTGTGGGCCAGGTAATAGCCATGCAAGTGGAGGTGGTTTACTGAGGCCAAGCCCCCCAGGCTGTTGAAACCCACCCGGAAGCCAGGGTTCAAGCTCAGCAGCACAGCTTCCAGGCCAGCCCGCAACACACCCGGCAGTAGGCGCTGGGGCAGCCCCCGGGCAGGCTCAGGCACCAGCAGCACGTGTCCCCACTCCAGTGGGCTGACGTTGATCACCACCAGGATGTCCTCCTGTGGGAGGTCATTGTGCGTGTCAAGCTTCCGGTACAAATGGAAGAGGACTTCTCCAGGCCGGATCTTGTTGAAGTTAAACTGTTCTGGGTCGAATGCCTGCCTCACACTCTCAATATTCTGCGGGCGCCTCCTCTGCACACCTCGCTCCACATTCAGCTGAGCCACAAAACCTACAGCACCAGGGAGGACTCGGGTCTGCAACTCCCCAAGGCGGTACCGAAAGAACCCCAGCTCCATCCGCTGCCTCCAGGCAGAGCAGAGTGCAGTGTCGAAATGGGACAGTGGCAGTGAATCCAGAGCATTGGGTGCACGGCTGGGCCACTGGATTCCTCCCACGATGAGCTCCTTCTGCCCATACACAAAGGCAGGGGCACCTTGCTCTGCCCAGTCCTCACTGTCTGAAGGCAGCAAGAAGGAAGTTGCATGTGAGTCACACAGAATAGCCATGGAGCTGCCCTGAAGCTGTCATAAAAAATGAAAAATACAGGATAGTAACCCATTTTTAGAGATGTTCATTCTCAAATCATCCTTAATTTTTCTCTGATTACAAAAGTAAAATATAATACACACTTTTGGTAAAATATTTAGAAACAAAGAAATTACTCATAATTCTGTCTCCTGCAGATGAGTAAATGTTTTTGCTGCATTTAAAATATTTATTGAGGGGCTAGGGATGGAGCTCAGTGGGAAAGTACCAGCCTGTATGTGCGAGGCCCTGGGATTTTTGTTTGTTTGTTTGTTTGTTTTTGGTAGCAGGGATTGAACTCAGGACCTTGCACTTGCAAGGCAGGCAGCAGAACCACTGCGCTAAGCCCTGGCAAGCCCCTAGGCTTGATTCTAGGCACCACCAAAAAAATACAAAACAAGAAAGCACACAGTTTAGAGGCTGAGGGGTATAGCTCCGTGTCAGGGCACCTTTCTAGTGTGTGCAAGACTCTGGGTTTAGTTCTAGCACTGTAAAACAAGAAAAAAGTCTATATATACACACACATGTATGTGTATACATTTATATATTAAATACACATATACACATATAGAAAAGGAAATAAAGAATACAAGCCTTATCCGAATGCCCGGGGAAAACCTCCTTTGCATTCAGCCTCATTTTCATAATGTATTTTGATTGTTTTTGGGTTTTTTTGCTGTTGGTTTTGGTTTTTTGAAACAGGATCAGGCTGGCCTTAAACTCATTATGTAGCCCAGGCTGACCTCAGCCTCCCAAGTGCTGGGATAACAGGCATGCACCATCATGCCCAGCTCTTTTGTTTTTTGTTTGTTTTCCTGGGGATTAAACTTCAGGACCTTCCACTTGTGAGGCAGGTGGTGGCACCACTGAAATAAATCCCAGGCCTAGCACTTTGTTTTGTTTTGGTAACAGGGACTGAAATGAAGTCCTAGTACATGATAGGCAAGTGTGTTACATTGAGTCTCTAGATCTTGACTTTTTAAGTATTTCTCCAATCTTTGTACATATAAAAGTAGGTTGTACGAGGTGGTGCACCCGGTAATCCCAGTACTTGGGAGGCTGGGGAAGGATTGCCAAGAAACGCTGTCTCAAAAAAAAAAAAAGTAGGTTGTAGTTCAAATGTTGCAATGACCATCCTGCAATACTTTTTAATATTTTTTTAATCTTTTGGAGACATGGTCTTGCTATGCAGTTCAGTCTAGCCTTGAACTCACTATGTAGCTGAGGCCAGCCTCGAACTCATGGCTAACCAAGTTCAACCACAGTACTTACTGCTAAATAAAATCAATCAATCAATCAATCAACAGGCAAAAAGGATGAATTTGCAGAAGAAAGAATAAATGGAATAAAAAAAAAGAATAAATGGAATCGGGCCAGGGATTTGGCTCAGTGGTTCCACTGCCTTTCTCGCAAGCACAAGGACCCGGTTCCATTCCCAATACCAAAAAAAAAGAATAAATGGGATTTAGCTCAGTGGTGCTGCCACCTGCCTTACAAGCGCAAGGTCCGGAGTTTGATCCCGGGTACCAAAAAAGAATAAATCCTGCCAGCCAGGCATGGTGGCCCATACCTGTAATCCCACTACTTGGTAGTCTGATGCATGCAAGAGGATTGCTGCCAGCTGAGTGCTAGCCTGGGCTATACAGTGAGTTCAAGTCCAGCCTGGGCTACAAAGCGAGACCCTGTCTCAAAAACAACAACAACAAAACCTAACTCCGGTTTCTCTTCCCAGCCGTAGTAGAGGTTCATTTATCCACGCATGCACATCCGATAAATATTTACTGACAACTTACGTGGCAAGAACTGTCCTTGGGTTGAGAAAAGACGGTTGCATGAGATGGTCTCTGCAGCCAGCCACGAGCACAGTATGGGGGTGGGTAGGCCCTTCAGAGCGTGCCAGTTGTAACAAGGGAGCCGGGCAGGGTGGGGAGCCTTGGAGTAGGGACCCCTCTTTACAGGCCTGAGCCTGACAAGTCCACGAAACCCTCTAGACTTGTGTACATCCACGTTTGTAAACTGGGCGCCTACCTTGTCGGGCAGTTGCAAGAATTGAAGAGCGCTATGCACAGTGCCTGACACCCATGGGTCCTCGTCACCAGCCTAAGGGGCAGCAGGGTACGGTTACTCTGGATGAGACGCGGGACTGGGGCTGTAACCAGCGCCAAGTGGTAAAGTCACGATAAACCCTGTCTGGGTAGATGGCAGCTGACGACGGTCTCCACCACCCAGCAAGTCCCGAGGCTTCCCGGACACTCTGCATTAACTTCCTAGTTGCTCTTTACGGGTTCCCACCCAAGGCTTCAGCCAGCAACACCCACCGAAGGTAAGGCGGACGCACCGGGCGACTCTGGCCGGCCGGTAGCCTGCACCGGGTCCATAGCGCTGCAGCCACGCCCTTTAGCGCAGGCGCAGTCTACACCACGCCCTCGGCGCGCAGGCCCAACCCCCCGGGAGGCGGGGCTTGGGACTTGGCCCCGCCCCCAGTTATCCCGGCAAGGCCAGATAACCGAGCTCTGCAACCAGACTGCTTGTGGGCGCCGGGGTGCTGAGCCTAGGATCGGGCGGGGAGCGGAGCGCCTCAG